CCCTACACACCTCTCCTTTATTTTCCCTCATTACTGGGAATTGAACTCAGGGCACTGTCACTATATCCTTAGTTTTTTTTTTTTTTTTTTTTTTTTTACAGATTTTTGCTTTTTTTTTTTTTTTTTTTTTTTTTTTTTTTTTTTTTTTTTTTTACAGATTTTTGCTTTGTTAATTCTTACATTATGTTTGTGCCTGCATGTTTGTGTATGTAACTAATGTACAGACACACAGACACAAACATATGTAGTTACATACATGGACACATACACCATAATGTGGGTTCACGCACAGGAGTGCAGTCAAAAGGCGGGGGATCCTCCAGAGATGGCGTTACAGGCAGCTCTGAACCCCTGGATTCGGGTGCTGGGAACTGAACTTGGGTCCTCTCCGAGAGCGGTGTGTGCTCCTAGCCACTGAGCCGTCTCTCCAGCCTCATCTTAGCCCTCTTTTTATTTTCTGTTTTTCAATGGGGCTTTGGTTTTCCAACCTGGCCTGGACTGACTCTAGCCCAGGCAGGTCTTGAACCTTCTATCTTCTGGCCTTAACTTCCAGAGTTACTGCTAGTATTTACTTTTTACTTAGAGATTAGCATTTTCGTTCTTCTGTGTAGCAAGGAAGTTTAAATCCCTTTCACAGAGAAAAACATCAACTTGCCTCAAGATAGAATGAAAAAAAAATGTGTTTACTGGGCAGCAATTGGGTATCATAATACTTTCTGTATAACATTGTTGCAAAAAACTCCTTGCAATGATGAAATGGCGCAGTGGGTAAGATACTTGACACAAGGCCTGACAACCTGAGATGAACCCCAAACCCATATAAAGGTGGAAAGAGAACTGTTGTCCTCTGATCTCCACACAATGAGCTGTGGCATGTGTGTGTATGCATAGACACAGACACACAATAAATAAAACAAAATAAATGAAAAGAAACTCATTCTTTTCATGCTTTTCAAAGCAGTTTGATCCCATATGCTTGACCAATTTCTGTAGGTTATTTTCTTATAAAAATTACTTGCAGACCCAGAGATACTTTTGTTTTTTTTTTTTTTTTTTTTTTTTTTTTTTTATTTTTGAATGTGTACATCATAAACTTAATTTTACCTTTTGCTTACTGATGCCACACCTGGAGCTCACTTGGTAGCCCAGGCTGGCCTCGAACTCACAGAGATC